TGCAGAGACTGCCCAGTGTTTAAGTACTGTATCACTGTTGGGTCCTTAGCACACATATCAGTTGAGGCACAGCTGTTATAACTAGAACTCCAGAATATCTCAAGTCTCTGACCTCCGTGGGTACAAGCACTTGTGTGCACATACCCACATAGACACTCAAGTAGATATAATTAAAAATAAGTCTTTTAATGAAAATTATGAAATCCTACTTTCATACCACATTTTTCATGATGTAAACACAAAGAACAGTGTGTTTCAGATATTTGAGTAAATGGATAATGAGTTTGTTAAATACATGTTTCTCATAGTTTAGTGCTATATAAGTATTTGGATAATTTTTTTATTTTAAATCAATCTTACATTCTTCCTCATTCTTTGTTGCTTTTATTGAAACATTAACAAAATTCAAAATCTGCCATTTATTAGCCTTCAGTTCTAGAAAAGGGAAAGCCACATATCTATTTTCAGTTTCCTATATTATCTTAGTACAAGTCTCTGATACAGGCTTGTCTCTTTTTTCTAAATTAAGTAGTTATTTTAATAAAATGTATACTTTAAAAATATTGTCATCTTCAAGTGAAAATAAGTGCATGTTAAATTCCTTGTATGTGTGTAGGAAGTTGGGCACTTGCATTATTTGTTGTTTGATTTTTCTTAAGATATCACCCAGGCTGGTCTCCACTCTCCTGCCTCCCCCTCCCAAGGGTAGGCAGGATAAAACTGTAGACACCACCACTATGCCTACCTGAAGAAGAGCCTTTTTATTTCGAAATGATTTAAAATTCAACATGCATGTGTGAGAAATAACAAATCCCAGATCTTACTAATGATAACATCTTACATAACTATAACATCACAATTGGAATTAGACATTGGTAAGATCCATGGGCTGTTCAAACTTGCTAATGTCATGGGGATGCAATAATTTAGTTTCCAGGACACTGCCACATCATGACACAGCAGTTGGGTCCACAGTTCCTCCTGGCCTGCTTCCATAGATAACAGCTCTCGCTTCCTCACAACTGCCCAAGACTGGCCTGCTCTCCACTTCCAACCCTGTCAGTTTAGAGTGTTTGTTGTAAGTGAACTCACACAGTGTAGACCCTTTGGGGTGGCGACCATCACTCAGTGAAATTCGCCTGAGCTGTATTGAGTGCTTTTAAAAGTGACTTGCTAAGAGGTCATCTAGGCCCTTTTCTACTCACCACTCGGTCATGGCCATTTATTTAAGAATGGTGGCAGGGTGGCACACATGGGACCTGGAGACACAGCACAGAGGCAGCTGTTTTTGCTGATCTTGTTACCCAAGGGAAACTTGGGGTCATAGGCCAGGCCTCACTGCTCGCCCCCCCCCCAGGGTTTCAATCAGGAAGTACAAATTCCTTTTCTGCTCAGCATGCTGGTCCCTTAGAGGGGTCGTCCACCTCCATAATTGTCTCTTTTCCAACGGTCCTCGTTCTAGTCAGTCTGTCTTTCATTCTTTCACTCCCCTAATTTTTCTGTCCTGTTCAACTTAAATTATGTGATTAAGTTCTAAATGAGGTGCCTCACATTTATGTTGTCTCAGAAAGAGGGCTGGTAGTCTGAAAGCCTGGGGCTCTTGTTCCGTTGGCCTTGCAGTGAGTGACCGTGGGCCCTGAATAGTCACCAGTGGTCACAGTCATCTTGCTTTGCTTTGCCTCAGTCATTAATTATTCATCTGGAGGCTCTGAATGTCACCTCTTGGGAACCCTAGTCTATTCTGCTCCATTCATACCAAGTCATTTTGTCCTGAGAGGCATGTTTAATCCATTGCTGTGTGGATGACCCTGTTACCTCCCTGGGTTGGTTGGTTGTATACAGGAACAGTTAACTGCTGGCCAGTCTGTGTGGCTGTGCCCATCTGAGTGATTGGAATTCAGCATTTTCCTCCGTTGGTGTTAACAACCCCAGACTAAACAAGGCAGGTTACACTTCTGATGAAGGACCAAGTAACTCACTGTCTTCATTTAGAAGCTAGGTCATAGGTCATATATGCGTATGGTAGCATAGAAGTGGCTTCACTTTGCAGAATATTCACTCAGCGACAACATATTGTAAGCTCTGAGGACTACCTATGCATCCACAGCACCACGCAGAAGTCATTATTCACCCCTGTGCTGCCTGCTGCAAGCACAGTTCAGTGTGCAGTCAGTAACTCTGAGGCATGGCTTCATGCCTTCCCTGTGACCTTTCCACTTTGCATCTCCATGAGAATTCTTAAAACCAACTGGCTAGACGCCCACCATGTGCCAGGCACTGCAGGTGCTTCAGGCAGTGAGTTACTTTATTCCACTCAGTACTTCCATTTGTTACCATTGTTGTCTCTAGTTTCCTTGAAGCAGCTTCCAGCAGTTTTAGCTATTTTTACTGTAAGACCGATAAATTCCTGGCCTTGGAGTTGTCATATTCTGTTGCTTCGCCATCCGAAGGATTTAGAAGGTTGAAAAACCATTCTTCTGTAGTCTGGAGCCACCTTCAGACTCCTCCAGTTTTAGGTGTTTTCTGGAGTGAGGCAGGGTACTAAGGATATGATGATGGCCTAGATGGCTAAGGAGGGGGTAGTAGGGCTGTGTAACTGAAATGTGTGTCTAACCATAAATGTCAAAGAAAAATAATTCTTCTTAAATGGTACCAAACACATGCAAAGGGCAGAAGTTTCTAGTATTGTGAATTGATAATAGATAATTGATGTTTTTTTGAACTGTGAAAAAGTGTATTATCTGCATATTGGTTAATGATGGTCCAAATTTTAAATGATAAGTGCTGAGAACATAGTGTGTATTTGTGGAGGAGAGGGTGTGTGTGCGCATGCGTGTTTCCTTCAGCCAGAATGTTTAATTTAGGCTCAGTGAAGAATCTTAAGAGAACACCAGTAGTGTCTTGTAACTTGGTGTTAAAATGTTACATTTCTATATTCATATAAGTATAGCTGTTTGGGTTTTTGTTGTTGTTGTTGTTTGTTTTTAAGCTCTGAAGAACAGTTTGTTCCCAGTAAAATTAAGACACAGATTTCCCATGTGTGCCCTCTCACATTTTAACAGCTCCCTCCAGGGTGGGAGGGGAGCAGTGACAGCTTTTTTGTTTTCCAATCTCAAGAATGTCTTCATAGGAAAATGCTGGGGATTAAACTAACAGTTTAAGTTTTGTACATGGATACCTGAGCTTGCCCGGTGAGACAGTTTCTGCATAGCACAGGTTCAGAGGACCCTTGTTTGGATGGATGGAGCCAGAGATGTTTCAGACTTGAAGCATTCCTCAGATTTGACTTGTTGAGTATCTCTAAGCTGAGAAGCCACAGTCAGAAATGAATGCAGAAAAACTTAGGTTAGGTGGATGTTCAGCATAAGCTTCTTTACAACAGTGAGACTCATTTCTCTTCCTGTAGTAAGGGTTTTAGTGTAATTTCATTTTAAAAGTAGCTCTAAATTCTTACTGATACATTAAGCTTTTCACTTGCTATATAGAGTTCTTTTTTCTCTTCTGTTGAGTTATCCATATAGTTACAGTCTATTTTGTCTGATAAGAATCCAATTGATTCTGCATTGTTGGTGAGTTTCCATTCTCAATTGTAGATATTCTGCAATTCCTAGCATATTTTCTGTGTGGTGAGGTGCCAGAGGTGCTGTTGCCATGGCTGATTAAAAAGGAAAATCAGCACAGTGCAGTATTGTGATATGCTGATGTGTTTATATTGACCATGGGGTCTAGAGGTTTTCTGATTGCTTTAATTTTTAAAAAGTACATAGTAATAGCTGAAGAGGAGAGAAAGTAACCTGGGCCTTGTCACAGTTTGCCCTGATACAGTGACAGTCGCTGGTCATATTTAAAGAAGCTGGACTAGATTGTCTAATGTACAGCTTGGGACCAGACCCAACTTTTTAGTAAGGTCTTTAAAAAAAAAGAATAAAGTGTGTGTGTGTGTGTGTGTGTGTGTGTGTGTGTGTGTGTGTCTGTCTGTCTGTCTGTCTGTCTGTCTGTCTGTCTGTCTGTCTGTCTGTCTGTCGTGGATATCAGGATGGAAACCTGGGTCCTCTGCCAGAGCAGTAAGTGCTCTTAACTGCTGAACCATCCATCTCCAACCCAACTAGTCTTTAAAACAGAGACCTGATGAAACCATCCGTGTATTTGTATCTTACAGGGAAATGAGTAGATACAGTGAATTTAGCAACAGCAATTTTTAAAAAGTTTATAGAAGATAAAAATTTAGAAGTGAACTTTTTGGAATATTTGCTTAGTTGGATGGAATTCATATTGACTCTCAACACAAAATCTAAGAGATGCAGAACAAATTGCTGGATTCTTCTTGTTTGCTTTTGTGTTTAGCAATAGGCTATATGGGCTGATGCAACTTTTATTAAGTTTTGAATTAAGGCAAATTATGTAATAGCGGTCATAATCTGCAGTTTAGTTGCCAACATTGTCATATATTCAAAACATAATGACTTTGGTTTTCTGTGCGTGTATATGTGTATGGGTGCACATGTGCCTGTGTGCGTGTCAAGGCCAGAGGTCAGTGTCAAGTGTCTTCCTATATCCTACTCCACCTTATTTTTTGAGACAGCTGACTCACCAGCAAACCAGGATCTGAACCTAGTCCTTATGCTTTCACAGCAAGCACTTTTATCAACCAATCTGTCTCCCCGGGCCCTATGAATTTGATTCTTTGACTCACACATGTATGTGTGGCACACTCATTATAAATAACAGAGTAAAAGTTACATGCCAATTCTCATTATAAAAACTGCTTTGAAAGAATTTAAGTAATGTGACAAGAAAGTAGTATGTGGTGGAAAGGCAGGGGGCGGGGTGGGGACATTTCAGCAGGAGGCTGAATAAGAAAAAAGTATAATGACTTAAATAATAATTAAAAATTTAAATGTAAAACACCAAATGGCATTGGCCCTCATAAGTGGAAACCTATGTGAACCATCTTGTTGTCAGTTGAGATGTCTATTCAGAGCATCACTGTCTACTTTCAGATTAATCTGCGCCTCATCTTGGTGAGTGGAAAGACGAAGGAGTTCCTCTTCTCTCCCAACGACTCTGCCTCTGACATTGCGAAGCATGTGTATGACAACTGGCCCATGGGTGAGTGTTTGGTTTGTTGTCCCCGTCTTGCTTCACACGTTTTGAGGAAGTACTGAGGGCATAAGATCAATGTTTGACAGGGTCACTGCCCTAGATTTTGCCTTTCTCACCACAGAGCAGCGAAGGAGCAAGGGATGTAGAGGCCACGTTTGCCTTAGTGCCAGTAGAGTGTGTTCAGTGTGTATCCACTTCCATACCAAAACACAGAAGGAAAGAGACTATCTTTACCATGGCAACAGGCTCTGTGAGCTCCTCTGTGTGGGACCTATTGAAAATGAAGCTTGAAACAGACTTGACCTACAGTTCATGTTGCTTGTGTTCTGTGAACAAGTTCAGAAAGAGTGAATTCTCTGCATTCTGCTTTCAGCTATACCACAGTGAATGCTTTGGGGGAGTGTGTGTGGTAGCTCCTCCCCTCTCTGCTACCTCCCTATCTAGTGAGACTCTGCCTTGCCTTAAGTAAGCAGGTTTTCCCTTTGAACTTCTAGGGTTTGCCCATAACAGTTTCCATGGCATGTGCCATCTAGTAACACTGTTTTAACCCATCACATTTAACTGTTTTCCAGTACAAAGGTTTGAACCCAGGGCCTTGCGCATGCTAGGCAAGTACTCTGTTACTAAGCTGTATACCTTCCTCCCTTTTAGAAAGTCTTGCAAAGTCAAATTTGGAATCCTCCTGCCTTAACCTCTCCATTATCTGGGATTACAAGCATATGCCCCCATGCTGAGTCTACAAAATATGTTTAGCAAAATCAATTCTAACCTCTTTTCTGTATGGATTAAGGTTACTGTCAGTTGTCTCTATAGCAAAGGAATGTGTGGCCAGACATAGTCTATAAACAATGGTTTTAAAAGCAGTGTATGCAAAGTAATTCATACTTAAAGGGAGGGAGTGATTCACCTGATCTTATCTAGAAGAGATAGTGCAGTCAGAATTCCCAGGAGAAGAGGGGGCCCTAGGAGGGGGCAGGTATGGTACAGGTCCCTGTTACTCTATTGTGCTTGAGTTCCTGAGACAAGGAGATATTGTCAAGTGCACATACATTGTTTTGAACACTAAACAAAACAAAGCCATTGCTTCCCTTCTTTTCCATCACTCACCCTCAGAATATTCTAGACTATTTCTTTGTTGTCCCACTAAAAGCAAAACCTAAGATTTTTGAGAAAGGTGCACAGGAATTCTCAGAATTCAGTTGTTACAGCAGCGAACTGATGGTACCTGCCAGGGGAAGTATATCCTGCCTGAGCAGCAGTCTCTCTGAGCTGAGGTTTTCAGATGGTGTGCCATAGCAGCTGCTGGGCTGCCCATACTACAAAAGGTAGCATTTTGTTCCAGCTTCCTGTCATGTTTGTCAGTTGACCTCAGAAAAACAACACCTAACGTATTGAGCTCTAAGAAAGGCTTTGAGGGACTTTTAGTGCCCTTGAGCATGCATTGGAGCATCATAATACTGTTAACTAATAACTAATTCAAAGGATAGATCCCTTTACTGAGACTAGCTTTTCCCCAGACCACCATTTAATTTCAGCCTACAAGTTGGCACTCTTTGATCTTTACGAGGCAGACAGTCTTTTGCAGCTCTTTGCTGCTACTTGAGGAAGGGAGAAGGAGCAAAGGCTATAGTGCCTGGACGGTGGAGGCTCTGGGCCATGCCCTGCCTGGTGGCCTCTGGAGTGTGACAGTGCACAGCCCTGCTGTCTCGCAGGCCTCTAACCAGCTCCGTTTCTTTCAGACTGGGAAGAAGAACAGGTGAGCAGCCCAAACATCCTGCGACTCATTTATCAAGGCAGATTTCTACACGGAAATGTCACGTTAGGAGGTAATTGACGTCCTCTCCTGCCAGTACTAGTCCTTTGCTTATTTTAAATGACAGTGCCTCTGCATTTACTAAAAAAAAGATGACTTGAGACTGAGGTTCCCCTGCTTTGGGTGTGCCTTCTCCCTGTGAGATAAACCCTACCTGCCAGTGTGCAGACCTACTGTGTTACATGTGTAGACCTACTGTGTTACAGGTGGATTTCATTGTGCTGCCGATGATGTAGTCTAGATGTGATGGTCCTAAGTTAAAACCCAGCACAGACTAGGGCACGATTATGACAGCAGGTTTTCATGTGCCTTGGGGAACTGCTCATTGTGTGGGGATAAACAGCTGCTGTGGACACAGTGACCGTCACTTCAGCATAGTCACTTTGTCGTCTAACTTACAGACTTTTTAAAACTACTTTTTAAAATTTGTTTTAGGATAATCAGCAAAATGGCTCATCTCATGACAATCATGTGACTGTCAGTCTTTTGGAAACAAATAAAAGGACTTCCAGCTTTCATGATTCAGACAGGTGATGCAGAGTACAGTGGCCCTTGGCTGGCCAGTGCCACCTGAGACTTGGTTAGGCTGTCTACCTTTTAGGCTGCAGGCTTTCTCTTTTGTCAGTCGTGTAAGGAGGTGGCACACAGCAATGGCAGGTGTTTTCCAGTATTTGCACGGCTACTCTGAAGGTGTGTGCTTGCTCAGTAACCTGTGAAATAGACTTAGGACCTACAGCTACACATCAAAGGCAGGGACAGCTGTGGGTTTTAAAATAGAACAAAAAATATTTGACAACAATATTTTTTATTATTATTACTGTGAGGGACAAGGCACAGGTATGGAGGTCAGAGAAACTTCATGGAGTTAGTTCTCTTCTCCAGCTTTACCTGGGTTGCAGGATCAAACTCAGGTCATCAGGTCCTGAGGTGGCTTTGCCTGCTGAGCCATCTCACAGCTTAGAGAAAAGAACAGCCCACTATGGAAACAAATGGAGTCCTTGTTGTAGGTGATGCTCACGCAGTGGGAGAGGGGACAGAAGTGAGGATACAGACAGGTGGATATCCTTCCCGCTGTGGGGCAGACACACACAGTGTGGGGTGCTCTGTTCCTTCTTCTCCTGTCCTCACCCCATTAAGACCTTGTCTCACTGCGTTGGGCAGCTTGGCCTAGCACTGTTGGGTCCAGCAACCCTCCTGCCTTAGCCTCTTGAGTCTGACTAGACCACAGCCCACACACTTCACCTGCATCTGTCATTCTGGGAGATGCTGTGGTTCAGTCAGTTTCGAGGTTAAATTTTTGGTCATCAGGTCTCTTTAAACATTGCTGAGTCTCCTTTTTGAGTAGTAGCCTTGTTAATCACATGGAATCTCACTCTCCTAAAGGAGAGCACAGTGATAACTCCACTGAATAGGATGGTTGTCAGCTGACACTGACAGTCAGTAGGGTTCAGAGAGAGTAGGGCATCAACCAGGACGCTCACCTTCATTCTTGGTCACTTACTTATTTATGTGGCTAGGAGTGCACCCCAGGGCCTCATTCATGCTGTACAGGTCCTTCGCCTCTGAGTTGCCAGTCCAGCTCCAGCCTGATACTTGTCTAAAATGCAGGTTTCTGTACTTCCCATTTCCCATCAGTGCTCCTTCTGAGTTGAAAGGCGGGTTTTTGTGTGTACAGGAAAAGTTGAAATCCTATCTTCTGGATGTTGCCCAGTATGTAGAAAAGTCTTCCATGAAGGAAGGCATTCCTGTCTCTGGCTTCTCCTTCACCTTCTGCTGCCAGCAGCCATGCCTACTGTTTTCCATTGAGTTGGATGCAGAAGAGAAGTGCCTGCCCCACGTGCTAGATGGCAGCTTCTAGTGCCGCTGCCCAACACTCTAGAGTGTGCCTGCTGCTGTGACTTAGTGATGACGCCACTGACAACGAGCAGTCAGTAGGTCTGTGTAGAACATGACTTGAAAAGCAGGGGCACTCACTAGTGCAGTAGTTTTATAGATACAACTCTGTGCTTTCTGTCAGGTAAGACAGATCCATGAGTCTTGCCAATAGCGAAGCTACAAGAGTCCCTTGTAACTGTACACTCCCCCCGACCCACTCCCTGCCATTCAGAAGTCAGCAGCTTTTAAGTGCTTTCAGCCCTGGCTCGTGATTTTACAGAATGAGGTGTATGTAACAGATTGTCTCTTTTTTACATAGCATTAAAACTTCCTTTTGGCAAAACAACAGTGATGCATTTGGTGGCCAGAGAGACCCTGCCAGAGCCCAACTCACAAGGTAAGCCTACCTTGGAATGTGCCTCATTTGAGCCATCAAGACATGCCTGCTTCCACTTAGACATTTTGCTGAAAAGGAGATTTTCGTAGTATATGAATTGAATTTATTGAACAAGTCACCAGGTAGTTTTTGAAACATGCCAAGATGAAAAGATTCCTTATTTACAGGGTTGTAATTTTTTTTAAAGCAAGCCTTGAACAAAACTCAGGCTGATTTGATTGACTATGCCTCTGCATTTTGCCTCTCCACCCAAGACCCACCTTGGCTAACCCAGGCTGGCTTTGTTTCTCCAGGTCAGAGGAATCGGGAGAAGACTGGGGAGAGCAACTGCTGCGTGATCCTGTGACGTGTGGCCAGCATGTACTGCAGTCTGTTGATGCTGCTGGAACAGAGGAGGTTCAACAGTGTCCCACACCTGTCGGACAGTCACCTGCACATCATGGGGCTGAATTACTCGGGAACTCTGTCATCTCTTCTTATAAAGTAAAAAGAACCAAGAACACTCTTCATCTGGTCCTTTATTCCTGTCTCTTGTCTGTGTTGAACAGTCTGAAATGCACAGTGGTCTCCAGGGGAAGTCGCCTTGCTGCCACAAAGACTCATCCACAGAAGTCAGAAATCAAGTATTGCAAGTACAGTTTGCACTAAAAAAAAGATTATCATTTTTTCCTCATCAGCAGAATCTGCCAGCGCCTGTGGTGCCCAGAAGTACTCTTGGGACAGTCCACACTGGAGGACTCTCGGCATCACTGAACTTAATCACCAGGCCAGTCTCACAGGGAAAATGGGAAGGGATCTAAGATGCTGGGTGAATTCTACCAAAGTCAGCCATGGTGGCTGTCCTCACAGGATATCAGAATGGGTGTGACTGTCCCCAGGGCAGCAAAGGAAAAGCCATGCCTGCTGCATATAGCGCTCTGCACAGGGGGTCTTTGCTGCCTGCACCCTGAGTCCTCTTAGAGCCAGGGGGCTCGTCCAGACAGCACAGAGGGTGGGTGGGCAGCAGTGTGTCCCTAGCCTTAATATGAAGGGCCTGTTGCTTGGGGCTGTCACTGTGCAGAAACGGTAGGAAACCTCGGCAGCAGATCCAGTCGTGTATTTGAATATCAGAAAATTGGAAACTCATCTGTAACCACGTCCTGCATTATGCTTACTCACTAGGACAGAGGAACCCTTTTAAAAAGTCTCCAGATACTAATTTTGTTACTTTATGTAGTTTGCATTTGGAATCAGTGCTTGCAATTGTATTAAAAATCACAAGCTGATTTTTAAGGCATACCTGATTAGTAGCACCATTCTTATTTTTACCAATAATTTAAAGATTGATATGCTATAAATAAACAATTTGCACAGCACTAAAGCATGAGCTAATTTCATCTAAACCTGTAAAAAAAAGATTTTATATTTTTTTCACTGGGAAGAAATCTTCCTGGATGAAATTACAAATATGTGTAGATTATATTTAATAAAAAGACATAAAATATCTAACTGTAGAACGCAAATATAGATTGGCGTGTAGCATATAGACCAGTATTCCATATCAATACCTTTATCCAGCCTTTCTAAAGATGAAGTTGCAGACTGCGTTGTGTTCCGTATTTAATGAGGGGTCTTGGCTCTCAGCAACATTATATGTCAATGGTCTCGATGGTCATCTTTGTTTAAATGCAATCAGGTTACTTTATTCATTGTTAATGGGTTGATAAAAAGGCTTTATATGCAGTAGATCTACGAAAATATTGTTCATACTGATCAGAATTAAATTTGTATAGAGCAGAGTTTTAAAATGAATGTAAATAGCACTAAACCTTTTCTTTCTGCAACCTGTACTTAATAGATTCCTTCTGTAAACTAAATAAAAAAATTGTAGTGCATCTTGGTGATTTATAGTCAGTAATTGTTTAATCATTGGTTCATCTATTGTACAATTCATTTTCTACCCTTCTCAGTATTTTAAAATTCATTCACTTATCACTCTGTTGCTACTTGGGAGTGCCCCAGCATCTTCACCACCTACCTGGTTAGTGTGGGAAGCACAACAGTGGGGTTCTGTCTTGGTTATCACTAAAGTGGTACATTCAGAAAATGTTACATATCCATCTGCTCTGTAGGCGTTGACTAGAGAAGAATCCAGCAGGTAGTGAACTGGGCACTTACTCATAATGGCTATAGTTTTTTGTAAATCAAGCTACTGGGCAATTGTTTTTAATACTTGATTCTACTTACTCTCTGTCCTCCCAAAGCTAAAGGCTTTCGGTTAATTGTGACTGCATTATGGACAGTTACAATTACTCTCTATTGGCCTTCCATATGTTTTATTGTGTCCCCACACTACACATCTCTTTCACGAGACTTTCATTTGGAATTTGTTACACAGGAGAAGCTGGCTCATTAGCAGAGAAGGAATGATCTGTAACAAATTAGAAAGAAGTAAAATTCTATACTAAAAACACCAAAGAATTTACTGGTGTGTACATGAAAAGGCTGGACTTCGTCCTTTAAAAAAACAATCTAATGGACTGTCGATGGCTGTAGTGGGATTGATCATACTCAGGCTAAGATTAGAGGTCTCTGTCTGGAATAGCCACAGCTTCCCTAAGGGTGAGCAGTGCAGAGACCCGTGACCCAGTGTGTAAAGAGAGCCTGAGTCATGGGCCTGACCCCAGCCCTGAACCCAGTCATCTGTTACTCCCAGCCTCCTCTGCACAATGGGGTCTTTCATGTTAAACCTCAGCATCCTTTCTGGTTGGAACCATTGGCTCTCTCTTCAAGGTATGTTGTATGTGGTGCCTTCATTCAAGAGGAGCTTTTCACATGGCCAAACAGGTCCCTGATGTCAGCTTGACCAATGCTGCAGCCATTTCTGTTAGTCAGTGTGTGGTGAACAGTGTTTAATGTGAAAAGAAATGAAAACTCTTCACCTGTCAAAGAACCGTCCTTTTGAATGACTTCCATTCATAACATCGGAGTGTTTTTTCCTGCTTAACTTTCTATTCCTTCTCTTTTTCCTTTTTCAGTTCATTTTATGGCTCTCAAAATGTATCATGGCCCAGCCTCTCCTCTGCTGTTTAGCTAAGAGAGAAAGACAGCCAGAATTTACCATGCTTCTGTACCATCCTCGTTGGTAACAGTCGTGGGCATGCCACACCCCGCCCCCACCATTTTGTCAGTAGTCACTCATTAGCCAAACAAGACTGCAGGCAGCAGGCAATTACTCAGCACCATTGCCATGACCAAGGTGTGCTGGAGTTCTTGGGCACAGGCAATAAATACACAGTTTATCAGCTGTCACTCTTAATGTATGCCACGGGTGCCTTCCTCAGAGGACTGCCACCCCATACCTCACATCCGGAGTGCTGTGCTGAAGTAATCAGGAACAAAACAGAAACCAGCTACATCCCTATCAGAGTCTTGTGTACTGCCACAACAGCAAGGATTTGTCCTTAACTGTGTTTTTTATAATACTGTCTTCCACACTGACACTTATGAACAGAGTAGACCTAGTAAATAAACGTTTGGAGAAAAGAGCATCAATCCCATCGTTCATCAATGAGAAAACAATTGGGTGACTGTGCCTTTAAACACCTCTGCAAATGGGTTGCTTGCCAGCATCAGCATCTGCATAGATGGGGAACAGGTGTCAGCATGTGGCTACTCCACAAGATGACAAGTCACCGGCTCAGTTTGCTCTAAGTGCTTCTCCAGGCGTGTTGGGTATCGGAGTATCTAAGGTGCCCTGGGAGAAGCTGCTGAGACAACTAAAGGAAGTTAGACACCAGCAGCTCTGCTGAGGGACTGACCACCAGCTGGGACCCCAGGCTCCCTTTCCAAAGGCAGGAAAGTTAATGTAGAAATCTGGTAGGAAGGAAGCTCTGCAGAGGCAGAGCTGTGTCTCCTTGTCAAGTGGATTTCCTCTAGAGATGTCACTTACGGAATCTCACTAATTGTTTCTCAGAACAGTTGGGCTTCACAGCATCTCCAGTTTGATAATATTGCATCTTCGGATTTCAGTACCATGGAAACAGCTGGGCTTTGAGAGTGGGCGACTTGAGGAAAGTTGATGTTTGAGCCTCAGCTTTCCCACCATTAAGGTAATAGCTGTTTGCTGTAGAGATTGCTTTTAGGTAAAGCCGTCTCAAAAATAAATAGGCCATCTCTGCCCAAGAGGTAGTCCGTGGCATCCCTGTCACAAAGCTGAGTGTGCTGGACCAGGGCATTTGATGTAAATTTTAGGAAAGCAGCTTGTAAAAAGGCCGGAGGACATAGCATGAATAAGTCCAGGTAAATGTCAAAAAGAAGACAGCAGTGCAAACCTGGAAAATGCGTTTCGTGTTAGCAAAGGGCCTGCTAGTTTGATGAGATGTGGCTGTAGGCTGAGAGGCTGGTCTGTAAGAACTGGTGCTAACCCTGTCGTAACTGGATCTACATTGTAACATAGACCTAACTGGGTATGCTGCCTCGTGTGCCTTTAATCCCAGCACTGAGAAGGCAGGTCTCTTGAGTGTCACACTAGCATAGGCTACCTCATGTTTCAGTCCAGCTAAGGGCTACATCGGTGACACCCTATCTCAAAACAGAAATAAATAGGTACAATTTTTTTTAATGGGCCCAGAGTTGGGATACAGCTCAATGACTGGGTGCTTGTCAAGGCTCTGGTCTGGGTTCATCCCAGTGCTGAAAAAGTCAAAAAAGAGGTGAGAGATATGTCATGAGGAGGTCTGAATATAATACTGTGTTTCTAGTCTAGGTTATGGCTGCTGGTGTCTGTCTAGCTCCACATCAGAAAAATGGGCAAACCCAGAGCTGTGCAGAGACCTGCAGTCTGAGGCTGTGTTGGTCATAGAGGGTCCAGCCGCTGCCTGGGCTATACAGAGCTGGGTGCCTGTGCTGCCACTCCGGGCCATGGTGTCATCCTGGGCCATGGACCATATCTGGGTCTGTGGCCACACTGCAACCAGGGTCTATGTCGATGTCCATGGCTTCAGTGTTACCATGGAAGGCTGAGCAAATATCTGGGGTTTGGGCTGCCACCTGGGGAAATGTTGCCATTTGGGGGCCACACTGTTGCTTGTGCCATACCAGTCTGGGTGATCTGCAATGCCAATGGGCCACAGGCTGTTGCCAAGGACCATGTCTGTGTCCATGGTTCCACTGCAGCAGAAGTCTGTGCTGTCTGTGGCCCATGTTACCACCAAAGGCGACACTGCTCCCAGGATCTAGGCCTCTGCCTGTGGCCTTCTTGGTGCCCAAGGGCTGTTCTGCTGCCAGGCCCTTACTAACCTGAATAATATGCATTGCCACCGGGGCCACGGCTAGGTTCATGGTCCTACCACAGACAGTACCTGCGCTGGTGTCTGAGGCTACTGTTACCATCAAAATTAGTGCACGTGTCCAGGATCTGGGTCCACTCCTGGGACCATGTGGGGGTGTAAGGGTTCAAGGACCATATGCCATTGTGTCCATGCCAATCCAAGTGGCCTACACTGCCAGCCAGGACCATGGTGACATCTGAGCCCAAGCTGCTGCTAAGGACCTTGTTTGGGTCCATGGTCCAACTACAGCTGGGGGCTCTATTGATGTCCATGGCCTACATGGACATCAGGGGCCTTGACTGCCACCTAGGGCCATGTTTGTGTCTGAGGATTGACCCTCTGTCAGGGCCATGCAGATCTGAGTGGCCTGCACTGCCACCCGGGGCCATGCTGTTGTCTGGGCCTGGGCTGCTGCTAGGGGTCATGTCTGGGTCCATGGCCCTGCGGCATCCGTGGTCTGTGCTGATGTCTCCTGTAGCACCGAAGACTGAAAGTCTAGGGCTTCCCAGAGTTGGCCCTGCCCCTCACTGGCTACAGCACTAGGAAGAACTAGCCCTGCCTTCCACCAGCTGCATCACTCTGGAGAGCAAGAGGACAGGGAGATGAGTGGGATCGGGAGGCATGATATGAAATCCACAAAGAATCAACAAAAAAGTTAAAATAGGCAAGATGACTGCAGTGACATCATGGCTTGATGACTCAGAGTCTTGCTTGGCCAAGGCTTCTCATAATCTTTTAAAGTGTTTTGTTACATTTATTTATTGTGTGTGTGGGTATGTATAAGTCAGGGAAAATAGTGGGAATTAGTTCTTTTCTTCCACCATAGGTTCTGTTGTGAGGTCTCCACCAGAGAAGGTTACTCAGACACAGGTTCAAACCGGCAGCTACTACTGGGTTAGCCGACCAGCAACTAACTGCCACTGAATGTTCAGGATCCCATTGTAGCCCAGACTTTTCTCAGAGTGAGCACAAAACCCACATCCTGGGTTGACATACTTAGTTAGCAAGAACAGTGAGCCAGAAGCAGAACTACAGAAGCCATAAAGCAAGGTCAGCACATTTAGAGACCTTCCCAGAACTGTGGACTTGGAGGGATTAGGTCTTTGTTTTCATTTGGCAGTACTGTCTATGCACTGACTTTTATGGAATGAATGAATGGCACTTCCATCTTGGCATCAGTTGTACTAAGGTCTTGGGGCCTGTTACAGTTCCTGGGAATCAAACTCAGGTCACTGGGCTTGGCTGAAAGCATCTTTACCAGATGAGTTGTCTCACAGCCTCTGATTACCACTTTTTTTTCTTTTCTTTCCTCCCACCCCCACCCCCTACACCAAGACAAGGTTTCTCTGTGTAATCCTGGCTATCCTGGAACACACTCTGTAGGCCAGGCTGGCCTGGAACTCAGAGATTCGCCTGCCTCTGCCTCCCAAGAGCTGGGATTAAGGGCACATGCCGCAACCACCACTCTCTCATTACCTCTTGACCTGCTAATGTCATCTCATCGGGGGTTCAAAACCATGGTTCTCAGATTTGTTTTGACCCAGAAGTGAAGGCAGATTGCT